ACAAACAAACAAACAAACAAACAAACAAACAAACAAACAAACAAACAAACAAACAAACAAACAAACAAACAAACAAACAAACAAACAAAACTAACCACTCAAAATAGCCACTTTAAAAAACTACTTTAGAAAGCAGTCAAAGCAGCTGTTAGATGTTTTTTTTTTGTAAAAAAATTACAAAAAACAAACACTTTTTTGGATGAGGTGGGTGGAGCCTTATTGGTGAGCCAAACGGAAGACACCGCTGGACCGAATGTGGCCCATGGGCCACCAGTTCCCAGGCCTTGTGTTAGAAGAAGAACAAATAGAAATGCCCTCTTTGTTGGCCCATTTGAGGAGCTCACAAATGTTTTTCTCTGCTCTGTATTTTTTTCCCTGTGAGCTCTAATGGGTTTTTATGTATCCACCAGGCTCCCTGCATTAGAACATTAGGCTGAATGACTGGCAACCGCTGTGTCACTCTGCCCCACGTGTAGCGTTCTGATGACAGAGGGATGGCGCATAATTAAKCCTTTTAAGCCTACTCACTAGGCATCTGATAAACATCTCTTTTGACTGATGAATGGCCATTTTCCAGTGGCAGAAAATCCTACCCAGCAGCTGCACGATCGTCTCGCAAAGGAGTTCTATAGCAGGCTAATCAACTTGTTTTGATATGGCTATCTGCAATATTTGATTCACGATACATTGAAACATACACAGGTGTATTTATCCCCCYGTGTGAGTGGAATCTCTGAAGATCTGCAAAAAACAAGATTTGTGCCACAGGTGGAGAATATGTAGGTTTCTCCTCCTTATTTTGCATTAAAAAACACAAAAGCGTGGCTGTATGTCATCTATACCTTAACGACTGCTCCGGTATGGAAATCAGGGTCATTTATTTTATGTTACAGTTTGGTAATAGATGCCACATTAAACAGAAAGCGAGTAAGAGTTTCAACTTTGAAAACACACATTACCAATGAGACTAGGAATATTTTTTTTTCTTTGCGGCTGGAGTACATCCTTTTTAAATGATATACATAATGAGTTTATAATATGCATCTGGGCTACCTCCTCTCTACTTTGATGTCTTCCAAATGGCCCGGGTGTCATCAGCAAAACATGTAGGCACTTTCCTGCCTCATTGACTCCCAAATGTATTTTAAATATCATTCCTGGTAACGCAATTATTTAAAACGCTGAACTAAACACTTACTAATGGGGAAAAAAGACAGCCACTTCGATAAATTCATTTCTCAAATGGTGGGCATTCATGTTTCTTTTTCTTTTTTCTTCCCCCTCCCTTTCTTCTTCTTATTTTTCTTGTGTGTGTTTCTTCCTCTATGAAGCGCAGGCAACTCTGATGACAAGAAGAAAGCATCTGCAGCAGCAACACCCCCTGCCCTCACAGCCCCCTGTGGACATATTAGAGCTTTGGTTTCCTCACATTACCCAACCTCCCTGAGTTTTTTATTTTTTTATTTTTCTGCATTGTGGTCAGCCTTCCCATCCCCGGGGCGAAGAGAGGCTGGACATCAGCAGAGATTGAGGCACTTCATTTATACAATCATAGGCAATTAGTTCCCTCTGATTATGAGGCCCTTAATGCTATTTTGAGTACTGTGGCACACATTAATACAGGAAGAGATTACACCACAGCTCTCTCACCACACTGAGCAGCCATTTAATATACCGAGAACATAATGAAATGTACACAGTAATTACAGTAATATTAAATGCTAATGGCTCCGCAATTGGGTCTGCTCTTAGTTTAAGATGGAGTCAGAAGTTTGGAGAGAGCATCTGAACAGCAGCGGAGCACTCAATTAACCATCAGGTGCCTCTCATCATTTTTTAAAAATTATTTTTATGATTCATAAATGCTTTTCCAATCAGGAGYGAGATCATGATATCAACTCTGAGCTGGAAAGAGAGCAATTAATGCGCAATTTCCATGTTGCAGCTCACGTGGAGGGGAGCTACAGAGAAAACAGGGTCTGAGGYTCGCATTCGAGGTGGCGGAACAACTACAGGTCACCATGGAAACACGGTGGGAGATAATGAGGATGCTTAATTGGCTGCTGACATTATGAGAAGCTGCTACATGGGTTGCATCCACTTGTTACTTTTTGACAGACAGCTTGAAGTTTCGCAGCAGGACTTGCAGATCTTCCTCAGATCTCAGCACTATGTGCTCAAGAAGAACGCAAATGAATTTATGGAGGYCGGAGCTGAGCAGTAACTCCAAACTATTCAGCAAAGACCATGATTTCTTTTTTTCTGTTTTCCTTCAGCTCTGACCCCCCCTGTAATGTATTGTATCGGTCTTTGCAGATTCCAATTGCCTCTCAATGCACTGATCACCACGCAAATAACCCCCTGTTTCATCATGACAATTGAAAGGTTCATATTTCAACTTAATAGTCCTTTATAACTTTAACCATCTATCACAACCTCATTTCATTGCGGCTGCAGTTAATACGCGCTTCCCTGCCAAGTGGAACATTTTCTAATGATGCACTCTCACACGAAAACAAGACAGTGGCAGCCCAAGCTCTGCATCACTCACTAATGCACCCATCCATAATGTGTTCATAGCAGTCTGCCTAAAGCACACAGCAATGGCTGCCAGTAGGCCGGGGCAGGAGAGGGGATACGGGGGGGGACGGGTACAAGACACAGACCTAAATGGCCATGATAATCATGAGCAAAGTCACTGCCATCAAAGACTGAATCACCCTCATGATAGCATCAGATTTCATGTCATTACAAATAATACTGAGAAACATCTGAAATGGGTTTCTCAACAATAACAGTCAGTGTCGGGAGTCACACCCATGTGCGTTATCGCAGCGAGTCTGGCTTTGTGGGATGTTGATAAGTGTCGTCTAATMCGTATATGTAAAGCCTGATGTAAACAGCATCCTAATTAGAGAGACCTTTATCAGTTCCTCCGTTTTATGCAGATTGAACTGCATGCAAACGCTCGTGTCATTATCTCGCAATCAAGTACTATTCATTGTCGTCTTTTAAAGTCCTGATTAAAATGCATAACAAGGTTTCAGTGTTGCATTATTCCCTCTGTCAGTTTATAAATATGTCATTTTTGGGGTTAACTGAATAATGGCCTTTGTCAGTGCCTATATGAACTTCATCAGAGGTGAAAGAGATCAATTTAAAAAAAGGGTAGGACATTGAATTTTTTAAAAAAATAGCGAACATTGTGTCTTGTTTGAAAGCATAACGACTAAAACTGATTTTTTTCAAAATATAAAGAACTCACTTTCACAAATCTGGTCTTTGGTGTATATATATACATTTCCCCCCTGGCTTTAAAAGCTACATTTTGATACTTGGATTATTCTGATATCATAAGCTTATCCAGAGATATGACCTAATTTGTCTTGTTGGTTACAATAATACTTTGTTTGGTTTGAATCCTAATTTTATGTAAATTTATTGAGTATTTTTTAATGTTAATATGAAGAGGAAACCTCAAATAGTATTTGTATATTAAGATTTCCCAGTTGGAAAGCAACAAAAATATAGTTCATAGGGAAAAATTAAAAATAGGAAGGCGTTTTTCCTGAAAGTCTGTTATTTTTGTTTTGTTGCTACTGCTCAAAAAATGCTTCAAAACTTTTTTAGGATTAAATTTTAGACAGTTCATTCAACTGATACATTGATAAGGCATCAATTCATTATATTTTGATGAAATGCAATTTTTGCACTTGTTTAAATCAAAAACCTATATATATATATATCCACAATCCACTTTTGGACTTGATCCTCATTTCGATGTGATGGGTCACATTATATATGATAGTATCAGGGATTTAAAATAAAACATTCTGATTAAAATTAGATGACTATCCCCCTGGTGCAACAAATGTCTACAGCATACTAGATTTTTAGACTCAGTTTAGAGTTTCTTATTCATAATTATAGATTTTCCACCATCTGCTGCATTTAGAACTCTACATGAGCATTTTAAATTTAAGTTAAACAAGTCTGTAAACTAAAATTGATAATTTAACTTGTGTAAAAAAACAGTTCAAAAACCACACTGAAAACATTTCAGGGAAAAAAATACTTCAGCTGCTAATCACTGCATCGGTGTTTTAATAGGCACCTGCACAATTCTTCACCTGTTCAAGCTGCTCTGCTCTCAGAGCTTCAAACAGGTGCTWCCTTCAACAAAAGTGGATAATTTCAGAACATGGAGCAGGATTGAGCAGTTAATGCTGGATGGTAAAGTTTTATCTAATCAGAAARAAACGAGTTTGTGGATTGGTGTCAATTAACTCACAAATTGAAATAATTGCAGATAGAAATCAGGATTTGGGGGTTTAACTAATCTGCATGCATTTTAAGAGAATATACAAACCATTTGACAGCAGGAGGATTTGAATTTTATGAAATTCCTTTAATTAAAAAAACAAGTCAGATTGTCATTGTGCAAATTAAATCACACTGAATATGTATAGTTATGGTAACAACCCTTTAGCACAGCTCCAAATGGGAAAAAAAAGGCAGCGGAAACGGTTTTTTATTTTTATTTGCTACACGGGCATGTATGCACATCGAATACAGAGACGTTCAAAACCCCGTACAATGTCTCCCTCTAGCGGTCAAAATGACCAAGTACAATTAAAAAAAAAAGTTAAGTGGCTAAAAACATGAGGGGAAAATAAATCTGTTTGTGCATTTATTCCGGTGTCCAGACCATGCAGAACCATAGACCTTAGTGGGGGGGTCTTTACTTGGAGCTGGTGTACTTTGTGACAGCCTTTGTGCCCTCGGACACCGCGTGCTTRGCCAGCTCCCCGGGCAGCAGCAGCCTGACGGCGGTCTGCACCTCCCTGCTGGTGATGGTGGAGCGCTTGTTGTACTGTGCCAGGCGGGACGCCTCCGTGGCGATTCTCTCGAACAGGTCGTTCACGAAGGAGTTCATGATGCTCATGGCTCGGCTCGAAATCCCCGTGTCCGGATGGACCTGCAAACAGGTAGGAACAGAATATGAAATTAAAGCGTACGAGCAAACCAATGCTCAGCGCGCGACGCCTCACTTCTTACCTGTTTCAAAACTTTATAGATGTACATGGCGTAAGTCTCTCTGCGTTTGACTTTTCTTTTCGCCTTTTTGTCGCCAGAACTCTTCCCTTTCTTTTTGGATACGTCGTTACTCATGTTGTAACCTTGAAACGTTGTTTTAAACCGTGTAGAAGTAATTCTGCGGTTGTGAGTCGCGGTTTGCTGCTTAAATCTTCCCTTAATTAGTGACTAATTGAACTCACCTGGTGTATTTCAAAGCATTAAACAAACAAACAAAAAATAATAATGCGAGTGTAATACTAATGTAAAATCAAAATAAAAAAATCATTTTGTAAGGATAATTGTGTTTATTTGGATATGAATTTATTATTTTATTTTTCATAGCACGGTTTACCTGTTGCACTTTCAAATGGTGTCCACTGGGTGGCAGGCTTGCATTACTTTTAAAGGCTAAACAAAGCTTCAAAGATTCAGTGTTTTATTGTCATATGCACAGATGAAAAACGTTTCCCTGAGCAGTGAAATTCTTACTTTGCCATCCATTTTTGAATGCCGAGAGATAACCATATCAAAAAAAAACCTGAATCATCACTGAAAGGACACAGAAAATGTTGATTAAATAAAAAAAGAGACTAAACTAAGGATAACAACATCAGAAAGGAATAATATAATAATGACAACAAGAAGGGAACTCAACAGTCTGTTTTTAAAGTGTAATGTGCAAATGTGCAACAGGTAACACTCTGTCAGTCAACGCTCGTTAAGGTGGATTTTCGGAACCACAATTGAATCCACTACAAATAATTTTCAACTTGGCGAATAGCCAAGTAATCTTACTTTGCTAATGGAACATTTGGTCAAGAAGGCTGAAGTGACCTGAGCTGAGGTCACCATAAATAAATCAAATGCTGTTTGTGTGCTGTCAGATTTGTTATTGAGCTGCTTGATTGATGGGATCAGAGCAACAACATTATTGAACATTAAATCATACCCTCACATGTCCTTTATTATTAGCAATACACTATGTGACATCTAACAAGAATTCATTCACAAGTAAACAAATAAAAAAAACTTTAATTGAGCTAATTAATGACCATTGCTGCTATAAATTCTTTACATTGTACATTTCCAGTTGTGTGCCCAACGTTTTGCACTTGTTATTTTTGTCCTCCACGTGCTCGTATAGGGCAGCAAAAAAGGCTGCGAAAAGACCTGCTTTTAAAGAAAGGATTTATGCAAGGCCATTTGCAGCAGCTGGCACGCACTTAACAACAGCTGTTGACTACACGGCCACTTTTTCACTCAGGTTTCYAGCAGACATTTTCTGTAGAGGTGCTTTATACGTGAAAAGAAAATGTGAATGTGTCTGCTGCTTTACATCAGCTGATTGTCACACAAACAGCAAAATGTTGTTTATTACAACTATTCATATATACTGTACATCTTTCTTTCTTTCTTTCTTTCTTTCTTTCTTTCTTTCTTTCTTTCTTTCTTTCTTTCTTTCTTTCTTTCTTTCTTTCTTTC